CAAACTGCCCCTCACAGAGAATAAAGAAGCTGAAGACGCTGAGCTATGTTCACAAAGTCAGTGGCACTTGATTTCTTGGGTTAAGCTCATGCATAGTACCGTCTATCACAGAACTGTGAAGGACATCAACAGAAGATGCACTGAAGAATAGGTTCAAAAGCCCACAAAAGACAGCGCATAGTTGAGTCATTGTAATAAGAAGGCAGATCACATTTTGCCAAAGAAGGCAAATTAAATCAAAATGGTCCATATTTGAAGGTACCATAATTTTCCATGAAAATGCAGGTCATTATGCAAATTTTGGTTCAGGTCCCCGCCCCTGGTAAAGTACCTTATTCTTAATCCTTACTTCCGATCGTTGATTCATCTGTATTTCGTCCCAGTCAAACCCTTATAAGGCGAGCGCCCCCAAGCATTCCGAATGCACTTTGGTATATAGTTGGCAGGACCAATTAAAGTAAACATACACACGCCTATATCGGGCTTTCTGTAGGATTGGTATAAGTTGCATTCCTCGTAGGTCCTCTCTTTTTCACTATTGTGCCATCTAAACGGGCCACGTGTTATATGCGTTGGACCAACAGGAGGGCCAGATCAGAGCGCGGCAAGCATTTTTCGGGTTAAGTGCCGATAACAAATGGCAAACCGGGGGGAGGGGGGACTCGGTGGCACACGCAGGTGCAAGCTCACACTGCGCCAACCACTTGCTCCCAATCCCACTTCCAGTCTTCTTGACTTTGACTTGACAGCAGACTTAGGTGGGTGAGGGAGGGGATAGAGTGCGGCAGATGCAACGCAAGCCTACTATCATTTGAGGCAAAAGTAGCTTATGTAGCCCCACTCATTTACCCCTAGTCCCAGCATTTTGTCCTGCAAAAACGGTGGTTATTGAGTTCTGTGGGGTGGGGAAAAAGAATAGGCAGAGAAGGAAATTTTATAGAAGTGTAAAGTGAAAAAATATACTCGAAATTGCCTCCCGCGGCTGCTGGGAGCAGGTTGTCCCACATGTAAATTGAAGGTGTGCGCGGCGCTTCGCGCCCCGGACTATACTAATCT